AGCGACAAACTTTTCTTTGGTGGATAAGCATGACTCGTTCTTTTTTATGAACTAAAGATTATGTAGTTCCACTTCTGTGGAGCGGGATTTCTTTTCTAAAGGACTTTTCGAGGTTCACCTTGCGGCCTATACTGTCCTACTAGGGCATTGCGTTCCAAGAATGCACGGTTGTTGGTTGTTCCTAGAGTCTCTAAAAGTACAATGGGAGCCAGAGCCTTTTCTTATCAAGCTCCACATTTGTGGAATCAGCTTCCAGTTTGTGTTCGGGCGGCAGACTGCCTATCCGTTTTTAAGAGTACGCTTAAGACCTTCCTTTTTGATAAAGCTTATAGTGATAAAATAAAATAATCTAATAAGAGTGCATTGACGTAGATACGTTGTGCCTCTTCACCTATACATTTTAGTTCTTACTCTTTCACTTAAATCCTAAAAACTTAGATCTTATATTTAAAACTTTATCCAAAACCTTTCCCCTCTCTGACCTCGAGGTTCTATTAGAGGGTAACAGGTTGCAGAGAAGGCCTAGCCCGGCCGGGGATTGTGGAACGTAGCCACAGACCTACTCCTTACCTCTAACCAATTCAGGTTCCAGTGGGGACCTTTCTCCCTGCGTGTGCCTCTCCATCTCTGTTTCCTACTTCTTACTTGCTACCCTTTTCCCTCAACCTATCCTAAGGGAGTGCATGCAGGGGCGGATCTACGGGGGGGGGGCAAGGGGGGGCAGCTGCCCCCCCCCACTGTAGAGCCTTGCCCCCCCAGTTGCCCCCCTAACTTTTGTTTCCCTAAAACTGTACCAAAACAAACCTACACTATTTCCACAAGCTTCTCAAGCAACGAAACAAGCATTACATTAGTTACAAGTGAATCATTTTAAATATCATTTTAGGCCCGTTAAAAACGCAGCTACGGCCCTGCATTAAACTGCGGAGCGGCGTTCACACATATGGAGGACGGAACATGACTTAAGTATAAATAAATAATTGTATGAAGAAATACAGGAATAAATAAATAAATACGTAAATAAATAAATAAATACAGGAATAAATAAATACAGGAATAAATAAATGACGAAATAAATACAGAAATAAATAAATGTTGAAATGAATACACAAATAAATAAATAAAAGAATAAATGCATAAATAAATATGGAAATAAATACATCAATGTATAAATAAATAAATAAAAGTCGAAAATAAAACAGAACACACGTTATTATATATCTTTCATTTATTTCTACATTTACGCGACATACATTTATTTATTTATGTATTTATGTGTCCGTATGCTAATGAGGTGGGCAGTCCTAACCTCAGTCTGAAGCAGGATTGGTTACAGGAGTGTGTGATCATTTCTGGCAGAGGGCTCTACTACTAACGCCTGGATAACCGCGCTGATTCGAATGCAGGAGCTTTACTGTTTAGCCCTTATCTTTATACATCCATGGTTTATCCACAGTTGTAAGGTTTATTTATGGATATTGATTTAAGAGCCATTGGAGATCATTTACGATCATTAGCGGACCATTTAGAGAATGGAGAACCAAAAGACTATGTCCAGTTTCGTGTGGAACGATGTATAGAGGACTTGGCTCAGCTCGACATGATGTGACTTGCCACAAATCTATTGCTTCTGCCTGGCTCCAACAATTGGCGAATCCTGCTTCAGACTGAGGTTAGGACCGCCCACCTCATTAGCATACGGACACATAAATACATAAATAAATAAATGTATGTCGCGTAAATGTAGAAATAAATGAAAGATATATAATAACGTGTGTTCTGTTTTATTTTCGACTTTTATTTATTTATTTGTACATTGATGTATTTATTTCCATATTTATTTATGCATTTATTTATGCATTTATTCTTTTATTTATTTATTTGTGTATTCATTTCAACATTTATTTATTTCTGTATTTATTTCGTCATTTATTTATTCCTGTATTTATTTATTCCTGTATTTATTTATTTATTTACGTATTTATTTATTTATTCCTGTATTTCTTCATACATTTATTTATTTATACTTAAGTCATGTTCCGTCCTCCATACACACAGACCGCGGCTCACACAGCTGCAGAGAGGGAACGAGCTGTCCCAGCACCTATGGATCAGCTTCCCCTGGGAGCATTTCCCCTTCCACTAGTTTTGTTTTTACTAAGGACGAGAGCTTGAAACTAAATATTAATAAAACGCTGCCGTTTGAATCGATAGCGTTTAACAGATGGGCGCTATTTGGGGCGTTACGTTACAAAATACTACGCAGACAGCGTTAGCTGGGAAATCGATCACTTTGCTAAACTATGCGGTAGCCTACTATTAAATCCACGTAAACTACACATCACAGCAATGAGGCCAGATCAATGAAACCAGGATACATCCTTTACCGTAAAAACTGGATCTAAACACAGCTGCCTGTGTGTGTTTGATAAATACTTTCTGATGATATGCTACATATTAGCTAGTCTACATGGTCCTAACGTGTAAAGTTATACAAGCATTTGTACCAGTGCTTTTCACAAGTAGACTCTTGCAGGCCAGAGTATAGGAGTGATTCAACAACAACAAAAATACATATCTGAGAAGAGATCAGGACGAACAGAAAGAGGAAAAGGAAAAGAGAGTTCACTGAAGAGACCAGGAGGATCAGAGCAGGAGGAAGAGGAGGAGATGAAGAGACCAAGAGGGTCAGAGCAGGAGGAAGAGGAGGAGATGAAGACATTAGTGAAGAAGAAGAAATATATGTGAGGAATAAAGATGAAGTGTCAGAAAGAGGGACAGAGGCAGGGATCAGGAGGCACAGGAGACTCCAGCTGGACCACATGGTATGTTCTTATTCTCCTTACATGTTCCATTACAGCAGCACAATCTAGCAGCTCTTAGTATTGACACATATTGATTGAAATGTGTTGCTGCACAAGTCACCTTTAGCTCTCTGAAGAGATGGGTGATGTCATTTGTGTACTTAATTATAAGTACTTACAGTATGCAGAATTAGAGTATTCTCTGAATCGGGTGCCTTTTGGGTCTTTATATCTTTGAAAAATGAAACCAAAATGTTTGGTCAACATCTGGTAGTGGACTACTTACATTTTCCCACCTCAGGCACAAAATATAAATAATTACTAGGAATTTACTTGAAAAAATTTAACAGGGTTGAAGTTTTTGACAAAAAGTAGGCATGATACTGTACCTTGTTTAGCTAAGATATGGCACCACATGGAAATCAAGGACATTACAAAATTGTAATATTTTGCAAAACTATTGTTTATTTTGTAATAAACAATTATTTACTATTATTAATTCATATAACAGAGTTTAAATGTTGAGCTTGTCAATCTTAATCTGAAAATACAAAAACTGAAATATAGGTAAGAGAAGAAACTGACACTTTTGTGATGTAATTCCCTCAATGCAGATCACACATGGACTGATCCATTATTTTAATAGGAGGGTAAATGGTATGGCGTGACGGGGTTGAAACAAACTGAGGGACGTGTGTCAATATTGCAATTTCATAGATAATTCAAGTATTTTTTCAGAATTTATTTTTGATCAGTTAAAGTTGACAAGCATATGATTATATTAGCAGCAACATTTTGGAATAATTGGCCATTTTGATTTGTTTAATATTAAATTAATATGTAATAATGCTTAGTGAGCACATGCAAATATGTCTGTCTAATACTAAGACAACCAATTTTTTAAAAACAAAATATATATTTAATTTTACATTGTAATGCAAACAACCTGTTCCATTAATTAATTGCTTTAAAATACATTTTGTAGTTTACTTTCATTTAAAATTATTGAAGTAAGCTTGGGGGACTCAAAGGGCACCCGATTGTTTGTCTGAACACCTTGTTTCTCTTGTGCATTAAGAACACTTGTGTTAGGGCATGAATTAACAATAAATAGGTTATATACAGTGTAAAATACCACTTACTGTCCGCCCTCCCATGCCACCCTGGCATGACCTCTTGCCCCCCCTTTGCCACCCCATGTAAAATGTTCTAGAACCGCCACTGAGTGCATGTATGCAGACACGTTAGTTTAGCTGCTATAGGCTTGGACTGTTGGGGGGGGGGCACCTTACTCCGTCTTTCTGTCTGTTTGTACCTGTGTACTCTCATGTTCCGATTAACCCAGCTTCCCCCAAATCTCTTTTTTGTGTCCATATCTACGCCGGGATCCTGAGTCGAGGCTAATCCTGTTGCTGTGGTCGTGTCTTCCTGGATCCTCTATCCTGAGCACTGGATCTAAGTCCTGGACTTCGAGTCGTGGCTGAACCTGTCTCTGTGGTCCTGCCTGACTCTCACCATACTACTTCCCTGATGGCTCCCACAAGATTGCTGACATCCTCGTGGATTCATCTTCTTATTATAGACACATGCATTTCCAAACATTTGGTCTACCTACAGTATGTTGTAAATGTATTATCTTTTCGATTTACACAGGGCATCTATTGCACGTCTGTCTGTCCTGGGAGAGGGATCCCTCCTCTGTTGCTCTCCCTGAGGTTTCTCCCATTTTTCCCTTTAAACTGTGGGTTTTCTCTGGAAGTTTTTCCTTGTACGATGTGAGGGTCAAAGGACAGAGGGTGTCGTATTGTCATACTGATATTCTGTGCAAACTGTGAAGACCACTGAGACAAATGTAACATTTGTGATATTGGGCGATATAAATAAACATTGATTGATTGTCTAAAAAACATAGTTTGCTTTTCAAACCATACAATTTATGTTTGATTACTGTAAATGGCCTCAATTCATACAGACGTTTTCTATGCTGGGTTTTACAAATGCATAACATTAAGCTTATTGTGTAGTGATAGGCTAAATTATTGGAAGTGTTTTTACATTTCCCATTAATTAGAAACTACAACCATGTTTTGTTTTAAAACCATCAATGAATATTGAATAGTTTTGTAACTTTAACATTGTTTTGTTACCATGGAAACGAGTCGGAGAAGGACCCCGGGAGCTCGTAAAACGTTTGAACATTAACAAACCAACGACAGAAGCAGGAGGAAGAGAGTCAGATCTGGAAACATTTGTAATCTACTCCGCCGTGAGAACTGTAAAACCAACAAAGAGTCATGACCTCCAGGAGCGTCCGTAAGAAGCAGCCTTCACGGTGAGTGTGTGTGTGTTGTTGGCGTTGTGCTTTGCCTGCGTGTTACAGAGGTGGGAGAAGTACTCAGATCTGGTATTTGAGTAAAAGTAGAAGAACCAGAGTGTAGTAAAAGTCCTGCATCAACATGTTATCCAAGTAAAAATACAAAAAAGCATGTTCTCAAAGCTGGTGCTTCTGCACAAAACATAGTGCGAGGTGGTTGCTATGCAACAACACTAACAGCTAGCGAACATATTAGACAGAGCGTTGATCGATTATTTGGCTATTTATTTACATTCATTTGTATGTTGCCATTTATTTTTGCACCCACTGAAAAACTGTCCAGCATCAGTAGAATGGCTTACGAGGTTACTTGTATAGGTTGAGGTTGTTCTAGGGCTGTTGCGTGGCGAGAATATTGCTCCACTTTCTCCGGTCCCCGAGATTCGGCTTCCAGTAGATCTGGAGAGAGCTTTCGCACAGGTGGCCACTAACGGTCATAATTTCTCTGTTTTGTTTCAAGACCCGTACCGCATCAGAAAGCTTTTGAATGGTGGTAGTGTTTTGTATACAGTTGAGTTTTTCTGTATTGTTGTGAAAAGTAACTACAATTCTACCCGTGGTATATGCTCAGTATATCACGGCTAAGAACCAATCAGATTGCTTGATTTGACTTGTCCGTTTTATAATGCAGGGTAGTTTGTGAATTTACTCCAGGTGTGATTTAAGTCTTGTTGATTATATCTCACATTATTCATCCAAATCTGCAAAGTAACTAAAGGTATTAAATAGATACATGTAGTGGAGTAAAAGTACACGATTTAGGCTACTTCTGAATTGGGGTAAAACGTAGCAAAACATTTATATACTCAAGAAAAGTACAAGTAGCCTACCTCAAAATTGTACTTGTGTGTTAACCATACTGTATGAATACAGGCGTGTGGAGGGGAGCGCTGAGCGGGCAGCAGCCCACAGGAGCTCTTCCCACTTCGATCTGCTAAAAAAACGCAGGGAACTCCAAGACCTGGACAACGAGAACCAGGAGATGCAAGAAGTAGGTTAACAGGAACTAACGATAGCCTACTTACAATAATTTATACACACACCTTCTTAAATATCCAAAACCTTTTCGTGGCATTTTATTTGTATTAAAAAAAACAACAACATATGATCAACATGTGTTGATCATTGCCTATAATCTGCACACGATTAGTTGGATCATTATTGAGATTAGGATTATTCTTTTTTTTTAATAAATGACAAAACATTTTTATTGCACTTTGAAACTTCAGTGTTACTTTTTTTTAAATCAAAACCACTATATCGCATTTTCTTTTGTGTTTCTACTGTATCCACTAAAATATATCCATATTTCTAACCACATACAATATATGATCTTTCAATAATATTAATTTACATTTTCGTAAATATTTAAATAGTTTAGACCCTGAGCTCTGGGAAGTATCCACCAGTATTTGTAATTGTGATTCGTGCTAGTCAGTTTTCTCCAGGTATCTGCTTAACCCAGAGTGACATCCATCTAAATCCATATATAATTCCTTCATTAATAGCTCATCGTGTCAAATGCTATTATTAACAAATCGAACAGTTACCAAGTGTTGATGTTTCCCACGCAGTTCAACTTTCTGACTTAATGCTCACTGTCCTGACTTACCATCATAAATGTTCCCAAGTCATGTTTGCCTACTATGTGTGTCTCATTATAGGAACTGGAGAATTTGCAACAGCGTGAAGATGAGTTGCAGGAGAAGATTAAGAAAGCTAACAAAATGAACCTCAGCTATGAGAAGATTCTCAGGGTACAGTGAAGGACCATTTCACACACAATTCCTGTATGAAACTGTTTTAACGTTATTGGGTTCACTCTAAACTAAATCTCTCCATCTCCCTCCCTGCAGGACCAGGCTACTGAATGTTCAGAGGGAGCAGAGAGGGAGAGGAAAGAGGTTTTTCATCTGGATGCAGAGCATGAGAGGCTGGTGGTGGAGTTAGCTGAAGAGCTGCAGAGCAAACAGGAGCGAGAGCGCCAGCTAGTGAAACTCAGACCGTACGCTGTGAGCTTCGAGCGGGCGGCCAAGTTGACCAAGGTACTGCAAGGGATTCTTTTAGAAGCTAGAGAGTCTAATTTAAACATGTTTATTCTACAGGAATAGTCTGTGTGTGTAATCATAACAATTACTTTTATAATTGTTTTGATCTTTCTAAATCTTGTCTCTTGATGATGTCCTCAACGTATTCACACACAATTATTATATGGCATTGTTGTGTGGAAAAGCCTTTCTGTCTCATTCTTCCTCCAGGTTTATGCTTTATTTAAAACAAAATCATGTATATGATGTTTGCAGGTGTGGTCCATAAAGTGTTTTGATTAGATAATGAATTTGAATTTTGGAGTTACATTGTGTGTTTCTATGTGTGTGTGTTACAGTTTAAGGACGCAAAGAGCCTCGCAGATCACATGGAGAACCTTCTCCGAATTCGAGAGAGTCTCCTTCAGCAGGACCTGAAGAAGCGTGAGAAGTATGACGAGCTGAGGAGAACCCTGCAGTCAAATCAAGAACAGCATCGCCTCATGCGTCTGCAGAAGAACTACGAGCTGTCCCAGATGGAGGTGGAGCATGAGAAAGCGCGCTCTGAAGTTCTGGAATGGGTACGAGAGCTGACCCCGGGTCAAAGTCCGGCATCAGAGCTAACACCAAATCAAATGATGATCTTCTGAGTGAAATGAAGTTGTCCCTGTCCCAACACAGGAGAGGAAGTGGAACCAGATTCAGGAAACCGCATCAAAGAAAACACTTCTCCTGGGACAAATCAAGATGGCGACACTCAACCTCTACGAAATGACGTGTCAAGACGAAAAAGCAGATGAAGCGGTTGATATAAACGACACAGAGAAACAGCTGGACCAGGTGTGTACCCCAACACAGCAGAGGTGGAGGTAAAAAGCAGACAGAAAAATATACACTTGTAATTTTTTTATTGTCTCCTCAGGTTAAGACGTTCATTCAAGACAGCGACGACATGGTCAAACAATATCAGACTTCTTCACAGAGACAAGATGGAAAGAAAAGAGACCAAAAGAGCTTTCCAAGTCACCGTAAAAAAAAGGCTTCAAAGTAACCTTTTACTATGAGTCTCATTTGCTGAGATGGAACTAAATAATTAAAGTGTGTTTATCTAATGTTAAACTCTGTGAGTTTCATTAACTGTGAACTTGTAGACACTGAACTTCAATAAACCTGAACACTGAGTGCAATCAACTATTGTCCATGTATCTCATCATTGTTAGTAACATGGCTTGATTCTAAATTCTGAAATGGTTCTGATAGTGGTAGCTAAACATTTGAGGGTGACTTGTTCAGAAAGCCAGTTGCAATTTCAGATAACTTATACAGTTAGTTTGTTCCATCCTAAGCTTCTCCTCTCAGCACAATATCATGAAGACAATGAATCATCAGGATAAAGGTCCGGTACTGCCACCTCGTGTCTCCTAAAGAAAACAGCAATCTGTTGTAACTTGTTTTATTGATCAGATCTCTGAACAGCTTCTGATGGGTCTTTGTCTTTCACGGCACTTTTGACCCCTCTACAGACATACTGTCACTTAATGGTAGGAAAACAGTGAACAATAACAAAAGATTAACATTTATATATGGACATTCAATTTTATATATTGGCCTACAGTATTATCCACACAAGTGAAATGTAACTATTTACTTAAGTACCATACTTATATTGAATGTTGAGGTACAGGCATTTTATTATTTTCAATTATACATTGTTCTTCTGCTCCGCTACATCTCAGAGGCACATATTGTGCTTTTAACTCCATGATATTTTGGGATAGCTGTAGGCTAACTTTAAAGATGAAAATATGATGTTGATATATGTATGATTATGTATAAAGATGAGACTTGGTGATTTTCAGAAGCCAATCAGCTTTATGGTAAAAAGACAAAGGTTGTCTACAACATTAAAGCGATAGACCTTGATATACCTATATGATGCTCAGCGCAAGTTCTTTCAGGAAGACTGGGTATATACTTTCACTCCGCAGCTGCATATAATCAGCTCATCACGGGCGTTGTCTATAACCTATTATATTCACCTCATTCTCCAGCAGCTAATCATTGCTGCAGCCAAACTTTAAAATGGTTCTCCTCTCTCCTGCAGTCAGCTGTGATTCCAGGTTTCTCCTCCCCATCCACCTCCTTTCATCTTATCCAGTGCCAGGAGAGTTAACCCAAAGACCTCATCACACCTCCTCTTCCTCCCATCTCCTCATCAAATCCAGATCCTCAGCATCATCACCAGTGTCTAGACCCCGGAGGGGGGGGGGGGGGGTCCCTATATGCTCACGGCTGCATTTCCCCCTTCAGATATACGATTTCAGGATCGGGTTCTAATCCCCGAAGACTTAACATTTATCATATGGCATGTGTCAATAAATGTTCTTTAAACAAAATGAAGTCTCTCCTGATTGAAATATCAATAGGAATAATCCAATAATATAAAACATTGTTGGATCCTAACTTTTTTTTTTGATTCGAGTGAATCGTAGGAATTAGACAGTGAGCGGATACTAATAAAGTTTTATTCTGAAATGAATGACATGTCATGTCCTAAAGGCATTGTTGTAAAAACAGGCTGTTTTGACACCACAGTTTTCAAAATGCATTTCAGTACATCATCTTCTTTTATAGGTTTAAAAGTAGATGTCAAATCAAAAATCACACGACTTACCAGTTTTCATAGCATATATGATCATGATCAAAACAAAACTAGTACATTTTACATTATATTTTTGCTTAAAACTAATGTTGCTGCTGCTGCTGCTCACTCTGTGCCCTCTTTGTTGTCGGGGCACAGCTCTGAAACACAGGAAGACAGAAGATAAACTTTAGGATAACACAGAAATCTTGGAGAATATCTGCAGTATTTCCATTTTTCTGATTGTGTGCATTGTACCTTATCTACTCAACATTATCTGTATAAAAACACAATATTTAAATGTTACACGTGTGGCAACTTGAGTACGTTCTTGTGTCCGGTTAAGACACAGATTCAGCTTTGTTTTTATTTATTTATAACAGTCATTTTACTGAAGACTCACTGACCTGTTTTGCCGTCGTAGCTGTGGAAGTTCTCTGGGAAGCTCAGACACCCAACTTGTTTCTTGAAAATGTCAACATCTTCGGGATCAATTTTTCCGTTCCTTGCTGGAAAAAGGGGAGTTTTTTGTATTGTTTTAATGACTGACTACATTTGAAACTCAGAGATGAATTGTAAAATCTGATGAGGAACATACTGAACTGCAGGATGTATCTACCGGTGACGTCTCCATTTCGAAAGGTGTCCGTCCACAGCAGGCAGTCGGAGCAGCTCTGAAGGATATGACCTTTGTGGTCTGACAGATTTTCTTTAAAGACAGCAGAGCGACTGATTATATTTTTCGCATGAAGATTAATTTCTAATGCTCCTAATCCTGTTAATACCATGCTAGAGAAATAAGCTGCTTTACCTTATGTCAGGAGTTACTTACTGCGAAATGTGGTGGCGATGCCTGAGACTGTTGCATTCACCTCCCCTGAGATACACCGATTACTGGGAAACAAGAAGATGCTGGGCCAGAGTTTTGTTTTTTCAAAAGCTTCACGTTTAAATAGTAGCAATTGGTTCATTGTTTTATACCACATTTCATTCTGCAATGTTAAATTGATTTTTACTATTATATTTTATAAATACTGCTGCTACTAACAGCGATGTGTTCTTCTGTAAATTGAAATGATTTGTATTACTCTTGTTTTAAATACTATGTGCATGCCTTTTATCTAATATTGTCCTCTCTATCTATACCTTGCTGTAACAATGTACATTTTGTGGAATGATTAAAGGAATGTATATTGTGCTTATAATCATTAATTAAATGTATAGTATGGTATACGGGATTTGAAGGTAAAGTATTTCCATTTTGAATATTTATTGTGCTACAAATTCAATTCAAGGAGGATTCTGCCCACCATGTTTTAATGAACTAAATCTACAGACTTACAGGCAGTGATCTCCCCAACGTAACGTCACAATCTGACTGTCAGAAGTGGGAGACAGGTCGATCCAGGAGCTCTTCAGAGACTCCAGAGCCTTGTGGTAGGGCTTGGGGTCCCCGGCTCCCATCACGTATACCCATTTTCCAAAAACCTTCACATCAAAAGTCAAGATTAATGTAACAAAAACAAATCTGAGTGTGCTAATATTATAAAGTAAATCAAATAAAATCGGGACAAATAGGTAACACAGAACCTACCAGTTTGCTGTCCTCTGGTATAAAAGGCTTGACCAGGTCCTTGCAGTCGGGTGCAGATGCAGCACTGAGGGTAGAGAGAGTCAACAGAAGCACAACACGCAGAGCCATGGTCAGACGGAGAGTCAGCAGAAATACAGAAGATGTCCCTGAACCTGCAAAGGGAATCTTCTAATGCGGATTCATTTTCCCGCTGGGGTACAAAAAAGAACAAAAAAGTCGTTGTGCAACTGCGTTTAACGGGTAGGAGGTGGTTTCTGCAGACAGTAACGTTTTTTTTAATGACCATGCAGATTTCTGTTGCTCAGCATTGAATGGCCAGGCCTCTGTTTCCCGTGGCGTTGACCCTGAGTGAACTCGGGCAAGTGCCAAGACTTGTCTCTGGCTGTTGAAACATTCAGAGAGGACCTGAAGCTGCTTTTCTTCACTAGAGTGAAGGTTGTTTCCCTGTTGGTCTGAATGGACTCCTTGTGGCGACAGTTTCAAAGTTTCTCCCCCTCGCAGAGACGTTACCCGGCAACAGTCTTTGTTGAAGTTTCTGGGAACAGCGGGGCGTTTGAGAAAAGCTGAAGTAGTCTTGATGAAGTGATTCATCTTGAAACATGGGCCTGCTAACTTCTTGTGTACGTACATGAATAAGGCCAAAGTAATGTTAGAGAATAAGACAAATAAATTAAAATGGGCAAGAAAACAACACAGAAGGAGAATGAAAACTTTTATTTACTTCAGACAAAAAGATGGAAATTGTTACTCAACTATTTAAGGAGTGGTTTAAGTGGATTTTTCAGCCATTACAGTACTCTCCAAATTATGCTATGAGCTATCGACATGTCACATTTAGCCTAGCAGGCAGAGATAATAAATCCACATATTACTCTCCAAAGGCCTTTTACTCATCGCTGCTGCTGAAAACAACCGGACCACCTAATCAAATATTACCCCACAGTACAACCAGATATCAGGGCATGTGTAGGGCAAATTACAACACCACTAAGTACATACTAAGTTGGATATGTTTGGTGTTCACAGGGATATGACTTTTCGGTGCTCTGCTTTATTGTGC